GACACTGCAAAGCTGTGCTTAGGGAATATGCTGAAGCACAGAGTTGGTTTTTTTTTTTTTTTTTTTTTTTTTCTCCTTTCTGTAATGGAAAGGCATTGCCTCATTTGTAGCTGGTAGGGGTCTTGTTATTTTTGTATGAAAATGCATCTTGTAAAGGCAGCTGTGCCAAATATGCAAACAAATCAGCTGAGCGGGTTCATTTCCACCATGTGGAGAAACAAAAATATTACTTTTATATATATATACACACGTAGGTACATAATCTCCTGTTGCTTTACAATAGCAAGAAGAACAAGGGCATCGCATTGGAGAGGAAAGACTAAAAAGGGCCGTGCACAGTCAGCACCCAACATGCATGATGTGTTACCCAGGATTAAGTCACTCCTACCCCACCTTGCTCCCATAGCAGCCTTTTGAGGGCTAAATCTTCCCCCTGCTCCTGGCAGGATCCCATTGCAGCCTGCAACGCGTGCACAAGAACTTTGCAAGCCAGCACCGCCTTCACCTTGGCCAAAAACTGCTGCCTGTGCCACACTGGTACCAATGGAAATAAGCCACCAGTGACCCTTCTCCCAATGGATCTGTCCGGAGTGCACTGATTAAATGCACATCAAAATGGGTGGCAGATTTACAAGTTAACAATGATTTAGTGGAGTGCACCGCAGCCAAATTAATGCCGGCTATAATGTAGTTTACCTCATTAAACAATGCACACCAAGATCCTGTCTGTTGTAAAACAATTGGTCTCTGAAGCCTAGTGTTCATCTTCCAGGGTTGCTGGGAGATAATAAATGGGTAATATTCCGGCGATAATGGTAATGGAGTCACGGCTCAGAGCTAATATTATGGCAAAGCAGTAATTATTTCAACAGTAAACAAGGGGACGGTTGAGCTGCCGACAGGATTGGAGCCTGTTGAAATGCTTCAGTTAATTTAGCTGGAGCCCAGGCCTGCAGTGCCTCCTGGAAGGAGGATGAGGGTTGTTGGCTGAGCTTCTGCAAGATCCTGGGCATTGGCCTCTGCAGGCAGTCAGGGCCTCAGTGCTGGAGAAAGGCCATGAGATCAGGGGAACACATACAATAAGGCAAGATGTCATGTCTGACAGAGCAGCCAACCCAGTTCAGGTCAACCCAATTGAACCCAAACAAGCCCAACTGAACTTAAGTCAACCCAGTCAGATTCAACCCAGCCTCACCCAACTCAACCCAACCTAACTCAAACCAACTCAACCCAACTCAGTCCAACCCAATCCAACCCAACGATGCAGCTCTGGGTTGGTTCTCTGCTCCAGCCACAAGAGGTTCAATTCCTTTCCTTCACATACCATTGTTGATAGCCCATACAACAAAAGTCCTTCTTCACAAATTGGGGCTCACACCCCTACCTCCCCCAAGGTTGCAGTTGGCTCTGATGTTTGCTCAGCTCAAGAAGATTCATACAACTAAATGTCATCTAAATACAGACAAGAAAGGCAAGACAGGTGCACTGGCCTTCTCCAGTGCCTTCTGAACCTTCAATAAGAGCCAAGAGACAGTGTAAAACCATACATAAGATCCAAGAGGAACACAGCAATAGGCACGAATCAGCTGCTCTGTGAGAGCCATTTCCCTGTCAAAATGACCAGAAGAGAGAACAATTCTCTGTCATTAAGTGAAAGTGGTTGTATAATCAAAAAATATTAGGCTGTTATAATCACAAAATAAACAAGAGAGTTAGGCAAAGTAGACTACGATAACAAAAGAGAATAAATGGAAGGCTTACCCTAATGCTGGGCTCACCCACAGAACTCCAGTAGAGGTGATCTCCAGAAGAGATCCTTCTGCACTGGCAGCCAGCTCTTAAATAGGTCTAGGAGGGGGGCAGCCAGGCTCCATCCCTTCCAGCAGCACAACTGAATTGCCTTCACCTGTGCTCCTCCTGGCTCACCTCAGGTGATCAATCAGAGGTTCAGGCCGTGACTCAGCAGTTCCCATACAGTGGTAACTTGAGGCATGGTTACAGGGAGCCCTTCCTGGGGACAAGGATTCCCCTTCCTTCTCTCAGTGCCTCTTTTCTAGGCTCCGAGGCATCTCCTGCCTGCAGTCCAGAAAGGATCTGGAAAGATTAGGTGCAGCAAGCAATGCACTCAATGGTCAAACATCTGAATGGAGGGGACGTGCCCCCTTCCTGGGGACATGCAACTCCTCAAGCTGGATGTTTTTTCAGCAGCTTTTCCTTTTATTTCAAGCCCTGCTAAGAGCCAGAGAGAATCAATAAATCCAAATATACCACACTTCTCCCAGAGTCCCTCCGCTGCTTTGCTGCTGATGTATAGACAGACGATCTCGAGAGACCTCTGCCACATCAGGCCACCATGTCTCATCTATCTTAAGTGCATATACAAGCTGTGATTACTCCCACACCCAAGCACCTCACGTCCTGAATGCATTTAGCCTCCCCTCAGCCCTGCCAGGCAACGGACTGCTGTCTCACCTCTCCCAGGGAGGAAGCAGAGGTTAACAGAACTGCTCACTGAGGACAGCTGGGTCATGGCAGGATGGGGCCCTCCAAGCATCACATCCCCCTCCAGGTGCTGCTGGCCCAGCAGCAATGCAGCACTGTGCTTGTGGGGCAGGGCTGGGCTCCTGCTTTCATTGCCGAGACTAATCCTAAGATTAATGAGGGATTCCTGCTATAAAGACCTTTTGATCAGCCCTCTTATGAGTAAATACACCATCAAGCCAAACCATAATGTTTTGCTACCCTGGCAGCCTCCCTTCTTAAGCCTTACACCAGAATCCATCATACTACTGCAATAATCAAACAGCAATTAGACAAAACCGTGGCAGAAAAGTCTATCAAGGGTTGTTAAGGATGACGAGTTGGATGCAGCCCTTGGCTCGGGATAGCAGCAAGCCCTTGGTGCCACTCACTGCAGTTCATCAGCACTTTTCCTGAGCTTAACAGGAGGCAAGACAAGTCTCGTGCCTGCCACAGGGATGCATTTGTTCACCAAGAGATGAAAACCAAACTGACAATGTGGCAATCACCATGACAACATCAGAGTTACCCCAAAAATAAAGGAAGAGCCCAGTAACTATGGGAACACCTGCGTGACCAAAACCACACCATTAACCAAAAGGTCTCACCATTGTTTGCAGATGGCATCAGCACCATGGTGCCAGGACCAATGCATCTGAAGCCCTCGTAACTTTGAGAGATTTCACCCTGCTGGAACACTTCTCTTGACTGACATCCCAGTGGGTTTGGCACAGGGGATGGAGCTGGCTTGCTGGGTGCTGGAGCTTGGCTTCCCAAATGGGTTTTCTGCCATGTGCAGCCCCCAAACCCCTTGTCACAGCTGTGGCTTCTCAGCAGAGCCCTGTGATGGAGGAACGTGTGTCTGCACCCACCTCCTCCTTATTCCATTTCAACCTGTACACTGACAGGAGACAGGTGGCTGGGAAGGGACTGCAGTGGGATGGATCGCTGGGGAGTTGAGCTGCTTTGGTGTCAGTCCTCTGGGAAACCAGACTGCATGCTCCTTCCAGTGAGCAAACACTCTTATTTGCTTCATTTCTCACCAAGAACCACAGAACAGACTGAGAGCTGCCAAGAAAATAATAAAGCCCGTGAAGTGCTGCTGTGCAGAGGAGCACTCGTTGGTGCAAGTACGGGAAGCAGCTCCTCCAGCACTGGCATAGCAGCAGCCAGCTTTGGGTCCTGGATTTCCAAACCACAGCATCTCCTCCCAGGGAGCTCGTCATCACCTTGGCATCTTCTACAGCACCTCTGCACACCTGCTCTGGTTCTTATTTCAGTCCCTGTACTTCAAATCCTTGTCTCCTGTATACATGCTAAATTGGAAACGGACAAATAGAGCATCCCCAGAGGCAGGGAGAGGAACAGGAGCTACATGCAGCCACCAGAGCTGTCTTGGGCCATCCCTGTGCTCAGCACCCTCCTCTGTCAGGCAGGCAGAGCCAGGTAAATCTTTGCAATCATTTGCTCTCTTTGAGCTTTGAAGGCAGAATGCCTAATCATGGCCAAAATCGGGTAAGAGCTGCTGCTGCAAATTACACAGCACCACAGGTAATTTCTGATTAGCTCACTCTTCCTCTCGTGATGCATCCTCAGTTTCCATAGCAGCTAAGTCCTAAGTAAAATGGAAACATCTGGTTCAAGCACAGGTAAAGATTCCCTGGGGAAAGAAACCTGCAGGATGGCAGCAAACAGCGAAAATAACCCCCGTGAAAGTGAGAGGCACTGGGAGCTGGAGCCTGGTTAGGAGAGGATGGATGGGTGCAGGGGAGGAAGGCAGCGAGGGGCAGGGAGTGGGAGAGGAGGGTCCTGGGGGCAGGAGGGACGTGGGATGGAGAAACCTATCTTCCAGAGGCTCCTGTCAAGAGAGCAGCCTGAGATGGCACCGACTGTGCTTGCTCTCTGCTGGGGCCATGAGGAAGGATGGGTCTGGCCCAGCAGCTTGTACAGCGCAAAGAGCAAAATCCAACTGCCCAAAAGCAGTGAGGAGAGGATTTTGAAGTCATACAGCCCCCAGTGGGTGTGTATGGGAATTCACTTCCCAGCACTCCCACCCACACAGTTCTGCTCAGGGTTTGCTTTCCAATTAACAAGGCTACCAATTAATGCTCCGCGCGTTTTCTTGTTGCTTTGCACCATTTCCAGCCCCTCTCTGATGCAACGTGTGAGGTTCCCTGGGGGGGCTCTCAGCACGCAGCCCTGCGCCACACGCAGCCACCTGCTGTGGCAGCCCCAGCATTCCCAATGCACAGCACAACCCCAACCTGGTAAGCACCACCAATCCTCCACGTAAGAAAAAAACCCACATTATTCCTCTCCCAAGCCACCAGGCTGGATATTTCCCTAACAAAACCCTCCTGCATCCAGTTACATCTTTTCAGTGCACATCATCTTCTTTACTCAACTTCAGCAACAAGCGAAGCAGCCAGCAGCACCTCCCAGCCCTTTTTGGGGTATTTTGGGCGTCGTTTGACTCTTACCTTTGGGTGAGATGTGTCTCCAGGTGATTGTGGGGTCTGGCCTTCCTGTGGCTATGCAGGTGAGGCTGACGTTGCCACCTTCATTGATGGAGATGTCAGAAGAGATCTCGATAATTTTCGGCGACACTGCAGCGACACAAAGAAGGAAACACCATCATAACCATACAGCTCTCTCATTGACGTGGTCTGATTTTTGGGTGGTGCTGTGTGAAGCCAGGAGTTGGACTCAACGATCCTTATGGTCTCTTCCAACTCAATACTCTACAATTCTGTGCCTTAATTCCGCCACCCCAGTGCAACACGAGGCCCCTGAGCGCGCACATGGCATGGGGCCAGACCCAAAGAGGGGACATAAAAAAGAAAGGGGCTGACGATGGGAAACAGGGAGCAAACGGGGCATTCCCCACCCAGCTGCTGCTCCCAAGGACCCCGTCCCTTGTTTGTCCCCATCCCAGCTGCTGCACACACACTGCAATGTCTGCAATGGCCTTGCACGCATTGCCTCTGCTGTGCAGGTAAGTAATTTATTGATCCGTAAAGCACTCCAAGACGCTCTGGAAGGGATTATGTCATGCCAGTGCCGTGCAATAAAATAAGAAATGATGGATTTTTTGTGAACATGAGGGTGATTTAGGGTTTGTAGTTGGAAGTGTAGTTAAAGTACATTTTAAGTGGAAATCAAGGTGGGTAATGAATTATTCCCTGTTTTGAAGGGCTTCTGGGAGTTCATTTTTTTGCTGCTCTGGGCATGACGGCTAATCTGATAATCATGCATTGAATCAGGAGGTCCCAGAATGGGGCTCTGGGCAGGACAGCGGCCGTGAAGGCAACACCAAAGGAAATATTAAAATTCATCAGTGTCATTAAGCCCAGCATGAGGGCACACATCTCCTGGGACGGCCGGCTGGGAGATGCTCTGCCAACAGAGATTCCACGGAGATTCAATTAATGACAAAGTGCTACAAGTAGGAAGGAACCAAGAAACCAATGCGTGCTTCCCACAACGGAGCTTTCAGAATCACACGGGCCATGGGGGTTTGATACTGAAGGGATGAGCAGTGCTGGAGCCAAAGGCCCAGGGAGAGGAGGGGTCGCCTTCCCTGGGGGTGTTCCACAACCATGGAGATGCGGCCCTGAGGGATGTGGGCAGTGTTGGTGGGAGCTGGACGGTTGGACTGGATGATCTCAGAGGTCTTTTCCAACCATAATGACTGCAGGATTCTAAGGAGCCCAGCTGACTGCAGCTGTCGGTCCCGCACAGTGATGCTATCTGCCATCTCCCATGCAATGCACACCGTACCAAGGAGGAACCTTGGCAATGTTTTTTAATTAACGGATTCGCATCACTCATATTTGGCTTGTTTTGCCGAGCTCACTGAGACTGGCAAACAACAAATTCAGCCTTTGCATTGTGATGCCGGTGCCGCGCACAGGGATTCGCATCCACACGGGTGACGGATAGAAATCTGCAATCAAATTAAATGACCAGATTCTAAAACATAATCAAAACAAATGGAACTTTGGTTTCCACTTCTCCTGAAAATGCATCCTGAAGGGCATCGCTTCCTCCTCCTCCCCAAGCAGAGCAGCACCAGTGCTCCTGCAGTGTTTCATGCTGCTGGGGATGGGAATGGGAGGTGAAATGATGGCTTTGGCCACACAATGGGAGAATCTGCAGCACGACAAGTGCAAATGCAGCTTTTGGGAATGGCCCTCGGTCGGTCGGTCTCTAGCAATGCACTGCAGCCTTCCTGGGATGAGGTGAGGGCTGGGGAGCAGGAGAGCGACAGCGTCAGCAAAGTCTTTAGGAACCACTTAAATTAAAAGCGGTAGGATTTAACGCGACAGTTATTGTATGCTAATTAAACGTTTGAATAATTAACCACGCGCACTCTGTAAAATGCCTTTCTTGAGACTTAGCAGGTACGTCGTAAGGCTTTTACTACACTAGAGAGGGAAACTTCAATAAATAAGTGATCGCAAGTATATATTTAACATTATTTAACGGCCACCAGTGCTGCCATTCCCTCCACTCAAAGCTTTCCCCATCAGTTGGCACTGCTGCAGCACTGGGGCAGAGGAGAAATTCCTTCTGCTGAGCGCGGGACGCAGATGGAGCTGCGCCCCAATGGGAATGAATAAATAAATAAAGCTAAATAAATGCCGGCTTCCCAGGCGGGAACCTCTCCTTGCGGGCAGTCCTTTTGTGTTCAGCATCTCTCCTGCTCAGAAGTGATTAAACATGGCAGTGTTGGCCAAGCTGCTCCAGTGACACAGTGCAGATTTCCCCAGAGACCGGCTGGTGTTTCATCGATCTGAATTCTGCTTTTCCCCTCCCCTTTTTTCTTGCCACAGTGATGGGAAAGGTCTCAGCGCAGTGCCGAACTGCAAACCCAGAGCTCGGCTGGACTTGCATGCACGGAGTCCCAGGGACAGAAAGCAGCGTGCTTAAATATTTAACCAAGCCATATGGCACGTTACACGCTCAGGGTGTTCAGTCAGGTGATAGATGCCTGTGCAGCTCCAAGCATATGCACTTGCCTACACAGATGTACTCCCCAACTTGTGCTGTGTGCGCACGCACCCTCCTGGCCCTGGCACAGGCTGAACCTCCCAGCATCCACCCCAGAGCCAACACAGGTGCAAACGCCTCCTGCACGCACCCTGCAGCAGCCAAACGCAGTGCTGTGCACAGATGCTGAGTCCCTGCACTGCATCCAGCTTGTCCCTGTTGACACACACAGCCCAGGGCCTGGAGCAAGCTCACCACCAGATACGGGGGAAGGAGACCAGCATGAGCCTGCAAAGGTGCCTGCAATGAGGAACTGCGTTTTTTGCCTCAGCCACCTACATCCTGACCAAGATAGGAGATGGGGCTGCAGCATCTCTGCCTGCTATCTGTGCATGGGGTATTGCTGGACAGTGCAGAGCCCCAGCAATGCCCATGCCAGCAGCCTGCCAGCAAGACGGGCTCTGCTGGTAAGTCTTGCTTTCCCCTCATAAAACATGCAAACCTCCATCCTCCAGCATGAGCAACATCTGTTCCAGATCAAAGGCAACAGCAAAGAACATCTATAAAAGCATCTTGAAGCAAGAAAAAGAGGGAGACTCAGACTTGTGTTCTGCAGGCGATCTGTGATGTGCACTGGCAGCTTCCTGAGCATCAGGCTGCCACAGCTCGTGCCTTTAATAACAGACACTTTCCACTGTTACCCACAGACTACTCCGTGTTTTACAGCACACTGCTAGCAGGGCCCTGCTGCTGGGAGCCCCAGCCCTGCTCACTGCACTGCCAAGCATCACATCGAGCCCACACTGCTGCACCAACAACTGAGGGACAGCAGGGCTGGCTGCGATGCAGTGCAGGGACCCCAACACCAAGTTAGAATCATAAAGGTTGGAAAAGACCTCTCAGATCTCCAAGTCCAACCCCAAAACACCCCTCTGCCCACTGCCCACATCCCTCAGTGCCACATCCCCATGGTTATGGAACACCCCCATGGACAGTGACCTCATCACTCCCTGGGCAGCCGGGCAGTGCAGCATCACTCTTTCAGTTAATAACTGTTTCCTAAAACGTGCTTCTAAATCAGGTGCTGCTACTCTCACACAACCATAAGAGGAAAGCAGAGAGGGCATCACCCTTCCATAACACCAGCACAGCTCAGAAGCTGCACTGAGGAAGTAGTCCATGAAGTAGGAGGAACAGAAAGCATCCCCAGAGGCAGAGAGAGGAACAGGAGCTACATGCAGCCACCAGAGATGTCCTGGGTCGTGCAGGCTTGTATATAAAAAACTTCCAATTTTGGGTGCAGACCCTACTCCGGGTTTGCACAATCCCTTGGCCCAGCTTCACCAAAGGGCTCAGCCCCCCTCCCCCAATCCCCCCGCACAAACCTGGCACTGGGAGAGGAGCCGGGAAACGAAGAGGACATACATAATGACCTTAATAAGCAATTAATAAATAACTAATGGCAATTGCTCGTTTTAAAGCAAGGCGTAATGAGATGTGTCATACAGCACTGAGATGTAACTAAATGATTTCCCGAGCAGATAATGCCTCCTATTGCAGCACAGCTCTCCGAGCTTGGAGGACACCAAATTTTTTACACCTGTCTCTGCAGCAGGTTATATGGCAAGGCATTGAAATAACTCAGAGGGGGAGGGGGGAGAAAGACGTTCCCAATCATTCATTAGTAAAGTATTTGTGAACGCTGATATAACTCACCGCATAAGCCGCAGGGCTTCTGCAGACAAACTTTATAGCTAAGTGCCAAAAGGGAGCCCAATCTGATTCCACTTACGACAGCATAAATCTGCGCTGCTCCTGCCGTCGTCAACAAGGGATGTGCCAGAATAAACACGGCACAAAAGCAGAGTCAGAGCTCAAGCATGACGACTTCTTTCTGACTCTGAGGTGGGTGCAGGTCGTCTGCCATCAGGCCAAGCAGCCTTAATGCTGGGTCGCCTGCTTTTGAGGCTCTGGAAGGATCCAGGTCTTTATTCTCCCATCCGCTCGACGAAAGGGAAAAACTAAGCCTCACATCTTGGGAAGTAAAGCAAGAGCCTGCTTAGCATGGCTGTTAATAAATGGCTTCAGTGTACAGCCAGAATCCAGCTTTGAGAGACCCAATATCTGCTTTCACATTATGGTGCCCAAAGGAGGTTAGAATCATAGAATCATAGAATGGTTTGAGCTGGAAAGGACCTTAAAAGCCATCTGGTCCCACTCTGTGCATTGAACAGGGAGACCCACAGCTCCATCAGGAGCTCAGAGCCCCATCCCCTGATCCTGGGTGTCCGCAGGGATGGGGCATCCACCAAACTGCTGAACTGCACTGGACACTTCCTTCCCTAAAATGAACCTAATGGTGCAGACCTCCTTTATAAAGCCCTTCATGCTTCTCATGCAAACGAAAATGAAAAAAAGAAAATTGAAAGCTGGAAGAAAGAAGTTTTTACATTGTCAGCCATGAAGAGATGCAGCTGAAGAAAGACTGCTCGACAGATCAGCTCCCTGTCTAGACAGATCTCATTTTCGGCTCCACGCACACTTCACAGAGCTAGGATCTAGTTTTCAGCTTCTGCTTTTTGCCCCCAAGTCACCTGGGATTCCCCCTGCCAGA